AGCACTTTAGTTTATATTTAAACAAGCAATAATTCCTCCCCACCACTTCCATGGAAAGGAAGGGGGAAGAAAAAAAAAAAATAAGACCCAGTCTGTAATTCACAGGAAGAGATTTTAGAAAAAAGCGAAAGGGCTGAGGCAACTGAGCTGTTAAAACACAGAAGAGAAGGAGCCTGTTGAATGGAGCACGAGGGGTGTTGAGTGGTGGCCGTTGTGGGTTTAAGGAGCAAACAAAACATACATCATTGACTCAGTGACGTCTCACTCCAGAATTAAACTGCGCTGCCACCTTGGCGTGATAGATCATTCTTTCATTTTAATGGATTGAAGAGAGTTTCACACACTCGGGATGTAACTCACTCCATGTTTGTCTGGATTGAAACTGCACTAAACGCATAGAAACTACAATTTGACTGTGGATAGAAAGACTTGAATAGACGCTGATGTGACAGCTAAAGTAATGAAAATCCTAGTTAAGTAGATGGTAATGACCGGCAAAGCCACGCAGGAGTCTTACCGTTGCCATGATGAAACTGGGGTCTGTTTTTACACCGACCTCAATTGCAGTGTGTGGCGCACAGCGAAAGAAAAAAACACTTTATTCACGCACAGAAAACCTTGTTGCTTACTCAAAGTCCTCTTGTGCAAGGAAGTGGTTTTGCAGTTCTATGTGAAAGAGAAGATATTGTTTTCCAGAGCTCTCCCAAGATGCTATTTCAGAATTGTCATCTCAACATAGTTAGCTGAACCTGTCATTTCAGTTACCAGAAATAAGATCATGTGGTCGGGCTTTATAAGAACAAAGAGAGTTGGAAACGAGAAAATCACAGCTTGAAAACAAGCTCTTACTCTTGAGGGGCAGGGGGTTCAGAGAGTTTGGTGGTGATAAGAGGCACATTACGAGCGTTTGCACTTTAAATTTTGTCGGAATAAAAACACATTAGACCTTTTAAAAAAAAAGCAAGTGCACTTTTCAAAACATACATTCATTTTACCACAGCAATGCGCTGCTACCCTGTCATTCTACAATGCTCTCTGCACACTATCAGCTTCTATGATAATATTTAGAATTGCACATATTTGAGATGATTGGTTTGAGGACAGAAGACTCTACAATGACTGTACTTGCCTTAGGATGCAGCTCAGCTATTTTCTTTTTTTTTTTTTTTTTCCACAACAAACATTTTCGTAAATAGCAAAATAACAAGAGACTCCTTTTACCAAGAGCATAATAGGTTCAAAATGCATACAGGGTCATTTTTTTCACTGCCCTTACTTACATTACTGCCCCCTACATTCCCACTTAAGTCAGGTAGTGTTGCATTTTGTTGCTCTGGAGTGGAAGAGAATTGCACACTCTGCAATTTTTAACCTATATCCACTCTGCCGTCTAAGCTTTGGTCCCCCCATACAGACATACATCAGAGTCTTGTACTATGCTGACCATGTAAAAATAACCCCATAGAAGGAGATCACAGTCAGACATAAAAATACATTTTAAATTTCATGTGGTGCTGTTGCGCACTTACGGACAAAAAGCCACATTTGGAACGGCACAAAGATACCCTCCATCCCTCGTTTACAGCACTGCAATTCCATTGTGGTTTTTATTTATGCAGGGGGGCAATTTGATCCAAGACATATTTTTAAAAGTCATGTTGTCTTGTCAGGATCAGCTTTTAGCACAAGTAAACAAGCAGTTTCACCCGTGCTTGTTGCCTTTTGTGTTTCTGTACTGTCTGAAACAAAGAGCGTAAAATGTTCCCGTACATGAACTGACCCGGTGGCTCGGCGAGTCTCCGTACATCTGCTGTCCCAACATGTTAAGTCAAAGCAGCATCGTGCGTCTGAATCTGCTCCAAGCCCTTTCACTCACTCTGCTGATGTGCTTTTTAAACTGTCTTATTAACGCAAAAAACGGCAACCGATAAAGACCATGTGAGTAACTTGTGGCTACTTTTTCAGACACGCTGTTTGAAACTGTTGCACCATCAATAAATCACAACCAATCATACATAATCTACTGCTACAACCAGTCATTTTCGGGGATTTACTTTTTTTTGGAGCTCTTTTGTCGTTAATGTTTCGTTGACCTTGGTCCATTTTGTTTGTTCGTGCGTCAAATCTTTATGTGTCACACTTGACACGCAGACACTGCTCTGAATTCATGCCCGGTGGTCCATTTAAGTACTTTGTTCCTGAATTTCTTAAATGGAAGCTCTCATCTGCTACTTATAGCTTTATTCACACCATCCTGATGTGTCTCTGAAGAATTGCTTGGCTTCTCTATCTGAAGCTGAGCTTGCAGAGCGCTGCTAATTGGGGGAGTGTTGCACCATCGACATTCACAAGCTGTTAATGGCTTCCAGTCCACGCTGCTAGCCACTGCCAAGGCTCAACTAATAAGAATCACAGCGTTCCTCTGTTGTCTGGAAGTACAGCTCTGTTCAGCGAAGCGGCTGTTTCACTCTTACTTACGCGGCTATATGTCCAGTCCTTTTTCCCATAAATATTCCTCTCACATTTGTGTCTGTTTATCTCAGTCGGTGTCTAATAGACCGAAGATATGCTCAGCGGTTATAAATGCAACCTCGTTAGTGTGACTCAGATCTGTGGCATGAACACAGCTGTGCATCAGCTGCATTTTTGCAGCCTGTGGTGCAGCCATGTCAAACCACTGGCATCTTATTTTAAAGCTTGTGCCAAAGGGACTTGGATTATGACAATATTACATGCACTTTTGCAGACAGTAAATCTTCTTCATGTTTCCTGCGTTATACCTTTTCTTCAGCGTGAACATGTCAATACACTTGCGGATATGTTTTAGTGTATTTGCCTTACCTTTGTATTTAGCCCACCTGAAAGGACGAGACCCACCTTGTTGTCTAGTGCCTCTGCTGGCAGTCAGATGAAGTACACTGTAGTCACTGTGTTACTCGATATAGAGTACATCGAGTACTTTCATGGTATCTCCAGGGAAATACTCAGTGATATCTTTATTCTTGTGGAAAACACTACAGTTGCCACTTCATGAGTGTGGTGTTCCACTACTTTAAATAGATTTTAAGCATAAACAAAAGGTAATAAATATGAAACAACCCACAAATCCTTGCAGTGCTAGAGCCATGGCCTCTGACTCAAGGAAAATTTTCATTCCTCGAACCGCCACTGAATTCCTTTCTAATTCTCTCCTATAAGTCATCAAAGGAAAGATACAGATTCCCAGAATCTTTTTTTTTCTTCTTCTTTTCAAACATTTCTGCCTCTCCAAAAGCTTAAAGACTCAGCTGCCAGCAGCCGATGTTTTCAATGCTCCACAAGCTTTTTTTTCTTTTTCTTTTTTCTTTGTAAGTGTCACAATGTTGCCTTCTACCTGTCAGTCACATAAGATTAGAGAGACCAGCGAGCTGACATGTCGGACAAACGCAGCGTCACAAGACTGAAAGGTTTAACAGATTAGCCTCTTCTCTCGTGGGAAGACCAACACCCCAGGTATCAATCTTCTCTGTGACTGCTCGCTGTATAGCCCGCAGAGTCGAGAGCTTAAAACAAATAATACGATCGCCAGACAAAGCTACAGGGACGAATGTCTGGGATACAAAGTGGGCAACGGAGGTGACAGAGATGTGATCACTTTAGACAAATTACAAAATGTGTGTCGCTGATTCACATTTTCCTCTCAATTTCAGAGTGTAGAGTCATGTTGAATATATTCATTATCGTAGACATGGAGCTGGAGTTATGATGAAACCAGTTTTTGTTTTTTCTCCACCAGAGCTTGAATGTGGAGTCTGTATGTAAAAAACAAGTCTGAGGACTCATGTAGAAATTACCAATTTTTGTTAAATCTATAGAATCCCTGCTAATCAGAACACTGCAGAATTTTCAGTTATAATATATTTAGCAAATCTAAAAATAAAAAAGAAATAAAAACTGTCATGTCATGTTATCACTTGTATGATAGATATATAAAATATAAAATATGACCTATACTTTTACAGCCTGTAGAAAACGCTGCAGTGTTTTCTGTTGGCTTAGATATAATCTTCATTATTTAGTGTTGTCTGTTTTTGTTTATTTGTTTGTTTCCCCTTTTCTTCTATCCCAAATCGTTTGCAGAATTATCTCTACAACAAAATTAATTACAATCATAATTTTAATAATTACTTCTAATTCACTGACAGGAACTTTCATTGAGACAAAGACATATCCAAAATTTTTGTGTGTTGCCCACAGCGGACACAACTCTTCTGCCCATTGAAATATTCAATTAAAATATTAATGCAGCTTCCAGGGAGTAGTTTTTTTTTTCTAAATTCCTATCAGCTTTGAAATTTAAGCAAAGGCTTTGACAGTAATAGGTCCACTGTGAGACTGCCTGTATGTAAAATTGTGTCTGTGATCCTCAGAGACTCCAGTCACTGTTCAGCCACACATAATCTTAGAGACAGAACTTAAATTGGGCCCTAGCATGCCCTGGGCCGTCATGGTTTCTGTTTAACTCAAACCCAAACCACTGTTGCATTTAATGAGCCTTAACCCAATTTAAACGTAATATTTTACCGTGACATCAAATGTACCACTACAGGATAGCACCCCTCGTTTTAGACCTGAACATTGTAGAAATGATGTCGTCACTGCTGACAGAGCTGTTCCTCCTGTGTAATTCCCCTGTTTTATATAATCTAGAGTCAACTTGCGAGTCCTTAAATGTCACAGAAAGTGAGTGGGTTGTAAGTATCGTGAGCTAGTGGACACTACCTTACAGTCTCTATGGCAACCTTTATGCTGTAGAGAGATTTGTGTCTCTAACAGGAGATTTACATGGTGCATAGACACTTTATAAAGCTGGACTTTTTTTTTTTTAGTCCATCAAGAGCTGAAATCTATGAAAGCAGGACTCCTCATGTAAATGCTTTTTTTTTTTTTTTCTGCTGTAGCTTACATTCGCTGTATAAATGACCCCTCTGTTCCGTCTCATTTGTTGGTTTTCCTTGCAGAGGGAATCGGAGCCTGAAGTCCCTGCAGTTCTGCCTCCATCCCTGCAGGGTATTGAGGAGCTGTCAGAGGCCGTGGCAGGGCTGAGCACCGTGGAGGAGGTCATGAAGTACCTGGAGCCAGAACGATGGCAGCTGGACATGGAGGAGCTGTACAAGCCCACATGGCACGTGCTGGGGAAGTCCTTCATCCACAATAAGAAGGCCAAAGGTAGGACACGTTTAACTTGTACGTTACAGTTAAATGAAACGCAAAATGATGATGTACATGTAAGTCAGGTACTGCACAGTCATTTATCGTCGTAAACAAGTGACTGAATATTAACTCCAACTGCTTACGGGTGATAATTATGCTGTGAGAAATGCAAACACTGCAGCCTGAACTGACTCCAATCTTCTGTGTCATTAAGGAGGAACCGATCTCAATCTGCTGAGGGAAGAAGTTCGACTGTACAGCTGCACTCCGCGCAACTTCTCTGTATCCTTGCGTGAGGAGCTGAAAAGGACAGATGCCATTTTCTGGCCCAGTTGCCTCCTGGTGAAGCGCTGTGGTGGAAACTGCGCCTGCTGCTCTCACCGCTGCTACGACTGCCAGTGCGTTCCTGCCAGGGTCACAAAGAAATACCATGAGGTAAATATCAACCAGGGAATTCACATGCTGGATAATTTGTCATCTGAACTAAAAAATAAACATCCAAGACATTTAACTATGTGTAATCCATTAATTTTATTTTATAAGGGAATATAACAAAGTTCAAGTCTGAGATAAACTTGTGGCTTTAGCCAAAATGACTTTTACGTCCACACTGGATTCTGAAACTCTTTTGCCAGACGTCCAACCATAAAACCAACTCATACATGGCTGTAGGTACCTCTTGATTCCCATGCCTTCCTTTTAGGAACGTTTCCAATTACGCACAAGTTATAGCATGATGTGATTGGTTGGATTGCCGTGACATTTCCCCGTGCGCTGTGCTTTAGCTCAGTGATGCATGAGTCATTGTGCAGTGCCACAATCAGGTCATATATGACATTTTACCCTACATGTACTGCAGCAGGAAGGCTCTATGGAAAGCAATAGTGACATTAGATTACAGAACACAACGGTAGCCTTATTTTGTAGTCGTACTTAGTTTCTGATGTAATGTAATGCCTGTCATTCGTGTAGTTTGGAAACCGAGAGAATGAGAAACATAGGCGTCCAACGAGATCAAGTCACTGTGATTATAAAAGTGAGGCAGATAAATTATGTTTCTGTGCAATCAGTCATGAAGGCAATTTTAAAACTTGGTAAAAAACTAATTAGCGTCTTCAAAAATTAAACCATCAGATCTTTTTTTTTTTTCCTGAACGGCCCACTCACTAACCGTGCTTTCACTGAAGTTTTTGAGCTGTAAACTTGAGCACAAATCCCTTTCGACAGGTTCTACTGCTGAAACATCGGAGTGGTGGAAGAGGCCTGCAGAAGTCCATGACTGATGTGCCCTTGGAGCATCACGAAGAGTGTGCCTGTGTGTGTAAAGATGACTGGGACTGACCTCAGACATGTGTAATAGCTGCCAATGGAAGCAAACAGGACTCTAAAAATGAACCTCTACCACTGTTCTGTATCTCATCCACTTCCACTGGGAGCTAACAAGATTCTCCCTTTATCCTGTTGTCCTTTCACTAATTGGATGAAGCAGAACAGACTGGAATCTAATAAATCTTCTGAATGGATTTGACTGCTGTGGAATACCAATAGAGCGCCCTGCGTGCATTTTAGAGGGACAAAAATTCACTGGAGCAGATCTGGACTATTACCTATGTGCTCTGAAGACTATTTTCTTCAGCTCCTCGAAGATAAGAACATTGAGGCATTTTTGTCTCTTCTTCCTGGGGTCTTTTTTACAGTTCAGTCGGTGTGGGCTGATAGTGTCATGGAAAATGGGAGCTTCTTTGTTCAAATACTTTTTTATGTCTATAAGTGAGCTGGCTCCAGCTGCCTTACTCCCTCGGCTCCTCTATTATTACCATCAAGGCAGAGAAAGGTGCTTTTTAAGAGCAGTCTTCTTTTGCTCCTGTCTTGTTTTACCACAAATTTAATCTGAGGCAAAATGCAGCCACAATATAGCTGAAATGCATCACTAATGAGACTGCATTATGTGTAAATATTTCATTTATCTTTCCTTTCTGTGCTATTGTGCCTTTTCTACCAAAGATTCTCAAGGAGAAGATAAGAGTTGCACATGTAGAATCAGCGTTGTTTGCTACAAGTCTTCATCTGATCCATCTCAGCAATATCAAATTTGTTTGCTTCAGGAATGCTTAGCTACGAGCAATTTTTTATTTTTTATTTTTGCAACATTTGAGATTGTTCATATTAAATATTTATTTGTTTAATGAAAGGGAATTTAGGTCCAAGATGCCTTTTGTTTGCTACATTTGTTGCTGTACAGTAGTATTAGCCTGCATTTTCATTGTTAGTCATTTTTACATTGCAATTTTTTGTCATGGATGTTTTTCATTTTCTGTATGCCAAAGTTATTTATCTTTACTTTTGCAACAACTGTTTGTGTATTTCATAGTACTGAACATCAAAAATAAAAATTTTCCATTTCTAACTGAATGTGCTTGGCTTGCAACTGGGAAGGGAGAAGATGCCTAAAGCATTACCAACAATAGCAAATACATTCCCAAAGCAGAGTCACGAATCAAAGCAATCCCATCGTGTAACATCTGATAAACGCTGAGTAAAGTCAGGTGAGAGCTTCTATGTATAAAATGTAAAAGTATAGCATATTCAACACGCAAAATTCTGACAGGTTGAAAAGCATAGCAGGAATGATTTGATTCAAGAACCTAACTGCCCAATAAACCACATACCTCTCAGCACAACAGAATCACATAATTAGTCTTGAACTCATAAGTAGTAATTAAGTGAATAATGGGGGGAAGTCATCTGAAAGTGATATGTCGCCTTTATTTATTACGACAATTTAAGTTTAGATTTTAATTGAATGTTACTTTGCACTGTATAGAATTTCTTTGAATACAAGTTACAATCAATCTTCAGCGGATAAAGATAAACTAACGCATGTAAAACGTGAAGTTGCAAAGAAAATTTGTTACCTTGCTCTGAAAACAACAAAGACAAAAGGTAAAAACATATTATCATTGGTGTTTAGTACATCCTTTATTTTAGTTATTTATATATCTAGCTGGGATAGGCTCCAGCTTGCCTGCGACCCTAGTGAGGATTAAGCAGTGTGTAGATAATGGATGGATGGATAGTTAGTATCTACAGAGTCATGTTTTGGGACATGTGCAACGGTCATATACAACAAGGTATCATCTGCAAAGAGACTCAAATGTGTGAATATTAATTCCAGTGGTAGCAATCCACTAAAAAAACATGTTAGAGTGAAAATGAATCACCAGATGGGATTCCATACTTAGTATTCTACTCACAATCCACTAGTTTTGCCCATGTGTGCCACTGGTGGAACGCCAGGGCAAACATTTGTCCTAGCCATTATCCTAACACCTATTATCTAACCACATCTCCAAGGTTTTGTGCAATGGCATATGAACAAAGGCATTTAAACCTTGAGTTCATTAATCAGTAAGTGGAACTGGAAGCCTAAATTACAAAATCAGAAAAGCCTTAGTTTGCTGCAGGGGGTTTTCATGTTCAGTGCGATAGTGAAGAAGTTACAACTTGGCTCGTCGAAGTGTCTGCTGGCTTTGTGCATGAATGACTAAGCCAGTGAGTTTAATTACATGTGTGAGTGAGAAAGATAAAGAATGAGAGCAAATGATTTAGAGAACATCGCTCGCAATGTTAGCCGCCGTGTAATTGGGGTTGTGTATGTGGGTGCTACTTTTCAACCTAATATTACAAGCACTACCTGAAAAAACGAAGGGCTAGCACGTCTCTCTTAAACTTATCTTTCTTTTCTTTATTCCACAAGCTCCTTATCAGCCGCTGAGCAATGCTGTTCATTCTCTCCTCTTGGCCATCAGGTCACCCAGGAGGAGGTTCTCATTTGTCCATCTCACACTGCTGTCCTGGCCAATTATTCTGATCTAATGTGCACCCTGGCAGGCATCTGCGGTGACGCCAGATGCTACTGCATAAACCCGCCGGCTCCCAGAGTGGTTTTTATAATATTAAACAGACAGCCTTCCTTGGTCAGTGCAGTGTTTCTTTGCAGAGGAAAACCTCACTGCACTGGCACAAGATGTGACACAGCATGGGCAGTTGGTCTGGCTTTTAATGTGTTTGTGTATGTGCAAGCGTGTGCGAATGTGCACAGCGACAATCCAGCACTTGACGCTTTCACCCTTCACCCACAGGCCCTTCTGCTCAGTGAAACCCAAGCAGCCTGAGTCAGACTAGACCGCAGCATCATGGTGCAATTTAGGTGTCGGGACTTAATTCAAGTAACTACATTTTAATTCATTTTGTCTCTGAAGGGAACCAAAAATCTGAACCTGCATCCAATTAAGATGTTTTGAAAGTAATAAACTGTTAGAGCTTGTGTAAAAAAATAATAGCACTACTAAGTGTTGCACTGCCACTGTGCACATATAGCAGTGCAGACATTACATCAGTGGTTCATAGCACCAAATCAAATCAAATCAAATCAAATTTATTTATGCAGCGTGTTAAAAACAACCTGAGTGCTGTACAGCAACAAAGTTATGTGCAAAAATTCAAGACAGGGTTAAAATAAAAAAATTAAAAACAAAATCAGTTAGAATATTAAAACAGACAGAACAGGATAGCAACTTGTAGGATCAATGTGTAAAAAGTAAATATGAAATATTGTGCCATTGAAAACCACTACATCTTGAGATGGTTCTTGAAACTACCAATTTGAGGAGGAACGTTTTATTTAAAGAGGAAGGCTGTCCCAAAGCTTTAGAGCTGCTGCTGCTGAGGCTCAATCCCCCTTTTCCCACCAGCCTCTATTGTGGTTAACAGTAAACAGCAGCTGTTCTGAGGATGTAAGAGCCCTCGAGGTAGAATAAGGGGCAGAAAAGTTCAGAAATGTACCCATGAGCTAAACCCATGCCACAGATACCAAATAACAAAGAACTGCACAGAGGCTTTTTGGACTTTCTCTGACCGAAGGCTGAGGCACAATGACGCTCGCTTTCTACCCCTTCTGCTGATGAATGAACATTAAAACACAGCCGCACTAGCGTCATTGCCAACAAACATTTCAGATGAAATCACAGAACTAACTTTAAATGAATTGCAGGATTGAACTTTTCTCTGTGAATAGGTGAAAATATTAAGCCACCTACATCCCCGAGCAAATAATTGTAAGATGATGATGAATGTATTCCTCTGTGCCGAGCTCCACAGACGTAAGACTTATCCTTGAGATTCTTCTGTCAATGGAAAGTGCAGCAGACTCGGGGTCGTAATGAATCAAGACAGAATGGCTCAAAAAGAGTATAAATTAGTGTCGCACAAAGAGACAACTGTACCGTGTTGTTGTAAAACACATGACAGCTTCAAAAACTGATTTGGACTTCCACGGTTTCGTACATTCCAAACCCAAAGAACAAATCCTGTCAGTTAGACGGGTGGGTCTTTTTTTGGTCTTTTTAATAACTGGTTTGTGTTTCTGACATGTTTAGCTGAATTACCCAAATATTACAAGTTTCCACTGTGTAGAGTAGCTTCACACAGTTTGAACAGGGTTATAGGTGAGCTGGTGTGCTCCAGCTGCAGTGTGTTTTCATAGATGTGCACGTTCTAGAGGAATTGACAGCGTAGAGTTATTTCAAGGTCCTTTTAATACGCAGAGATCAGTTTTTAGAGGCATGATCATTGGTAGGGATTGTGGATGCATAGAACATTCTTGCACCTCATCATTATTTACAGTGTATATGCATTGGTAGTGGATTAGCTGTTCTTCAAGAGGTTTGTTAGAAGACACAGTAGTCAGAGTTTCTCCCTCCTTTCAGTCTGTTTAGTTATAACACAGGGTGAAAGGAAAATTTGTAATCACTGCTTACCAATTTGTTTGTTTAGTTCGCTAATTTAAAGCAATTGGTTGGCTTTTTGGGGGAATACATTTATGCACTTCGTAGCAAATAATGAGAGTAAAAAATTGGTAGCACTCTTTATATACTGTATCTGCTAATTCAACATGCAACAGATTAGTATACCTTTGCATAAAAACCACAAACAGATAAACAAAGCTTTCTTTGACATATGTCGAACAGCGACCGAAATCTCACTAATTGTCTGCCAATCTCACTTTGATGGCAAGACTCAGGAAGCACTGATCTGTCTTCAGCGGTTTAAGATAGAAAAATGCCAAATAGATGTAAGCACAGGTTGGTTTCAGGTTCTTTCTGCTTGCTGTGCAGAATCTGCTGAATAAACTCCATCTGTCACTGCTGTCTCATCCCAAGAGCCTAAAAAAACAAAAACGGTCTCACATCGTCTCAAATCGCAACCAGCAACACTTTAGCCGATGGCAGCAACAACAGCGGTCTTGTACTTTACACTTATCTCTGTCGTTTCCCATCGCCGCAAACTGTTCCTAGATTACACTGTCACAAACTTTGATTCCAATTCGCCAGACAATAAAAGGACATGGTGACGTTTTTATATTTTTGTATCCGCTCTTCATGGCTTCCCTGGAGTGGCTTGAAAGTGCTGTTTTCACGCCCCCCAATAAAAGCATGGGTCACACCTTGCTGCAAGCGCAGTTCGCTGTGCGTGAATGCAAATGATGTCAGCAAGTTATTTTAGGAGCAAAATTAAAGAGACACAAAAGCTTGTCTATTCCCAAGCATGACAGATAGCTCTTGAAAAGATTAACAATGACAGTGTATTTGAAATAAGTATCACTACAAGCAAAACCTTGTAATGTATTCAGTCTGAAACTTCATCAAAAGGCTGCATAAAGAAAAAAAAAGATTCCAAAAATGGAAGTATTACAATCCTATGCTGTTTTCCTTCTAGCTGTGTCTACAAGAAGGAGTCACTGGAGCACTTGCAGGCCCATCGCATTACTAACCATCCTTCTCTTGTAACTGGCAACTGCCTATAAATTTCAACATGCAGCCTGGGAATCGATCTCAGCTTGAGGCCGTTTATAACTGGGCTGGATCTTTGAGCACTGACTGATGGGGAAAATATGGCAGCCCCCGTCCAGATGACATCTCCAGCATCCCTAATTGGTTCACGGTATATGGATGGAAAGGCCAAATTGACGGGTGCATGTTATGTTTTGATAATTATAGGGTGCTGCAGTGGCGGTTTCCAGAGAACTGGCTGTTGTTCCTGGGAATGTAGTATTAATCATGGGTCAGGAAATCATTTACGAAGCAGCACAACACAAGAGAGCCCTATGTTAAATATACTGTAGGTTGAATCATTTGACAGATGTCTCCTATTTCAGCTTTCATCTCCTCATTACGTCCAACATTTAACCACTCCACCTTACCACACCAAGATGAAAGGTTTTTACATTTACCCTGAACTCTATAATACACTATACATTAAACATCCTGCCATAAATCAAAAAGCTACGCGTACAGTATATACAACAATTTTACCTGACTGAGAAACCGCTGGCTAAGTGTAGTGCAGTACAT